TTCCTTTTCCTTCCCAATGAATATTTAGTTGTTTATATAAAGTGGAACAGCTTCAATGGGAAAAAGTAAGACCCACACCAGAGCACCTTGGTGGGAAGTGGGAGACCTTGGTTCAAGTTCCTGTTTTAAATCAGGTAGAGTAAGGATTTGAAAACAGGTCTCCCATAGCCCAAGTACCAATGGGTGTGTGGATGGGGATCGCTCTCCCTCTGTTTTTTTTCACAAAGGCTGCCCTGGCTTAGACACCCATCTCCAAGAGAGAGTTTATGGCTGTGAATCCTGATTCGAGATAGTTTCCTTCTAGAGCATTGTCTGTCACTTAAGTGTTTAGCTGTCTGTGGATCTGAGCCCTAAGCCCTGCCCCTTTCTTCTGCATGTCACTGCTGGCTAGCTTAGGCACTCTTCTCAGCTTGCTGGCTTTTAAGAAGCCCTTTCTTGGGTGCCTAACTCTCCCCATACAATGAATGGGAGGGGGGAAAGGGCTAGGGACCTAGCTCTCGTCTGTGAATGCCACTGGATGGCAGGGCACCTAAGACTGGCGTTAATCCCCTAGCCATCAAGAGATATTTAAGAATGAGATATTTCTTCCCCGCAACACTAGGGAGAGAAGAACAGAGAACCAAAAGTGAGAGAAAAAGGCAAGTGTTTTTCAGACATTAGTAATGGTTGAGCTTGGTACAGGAAAAATAGGGGGGAATATAAGGCAGTCAGATTGCAGAAAGATAATTTTGTTCTCTGACAAGTAGCAAGAGGCTGTCTTAATAAAATAGATGTTACATCCCAGGAGAATAAATTAGGAGAATGTTGATTATGTTACTAATTAAAGGGCTTTGGAAAATGGACTTAGTGAAAGGCACTCCTGGAGAGTACTCAGCAAGTAAGGATGAGAAAAGACTTGCAGCCATTCCAGTTAGTCATTACATAAAACAGCAGCAAATTCAATGACTGGAATATGCTGTAATAATTGGGCCTACAAATTTACCCCACTTGTGAGCCTAAATGTGGGAGAGTGGATAAAAAGTTACAAAATAGTCCAATAACATACAACAATAAATATGATGGGAAAAGGTACAAAAGGAAGACAAAGACTGAATAGTCCAAACAAAAAAGCATGCCAATATAACTCAAGGAATGTGTTAAGATCATGTCTGGTAAATAAAAGAAGTGTGGGACTTGAAATCAATGAACCAAAATTGGTGTGTTTGGAAATTAAACCTATTGGGGGACAAAATAATGAAGTAATGGATTATTCCACCCATCACTCGTTTTGGGGTTCTTAAAAAGAAAATGCTTTTGGGGGGAAAGTAGCAGAAGAAGCTGTCCACCAAAAATTGCAGCAGTGAGCTTTAGCATCATGACTGCCACCCACACCGTCTTCTGGGACCCTGGGATCTACTGTAACACCATTAGGCCTTCATCGTTGATCATGATACTCTGACCAGACCAAGGGACCCAGATGCCACCTCCATCTGTGTTGGCTAAATCCCAACTACCACTTGGGACGTGAGACTTCCTTTCTCAGACATCAGAGGGGTAGCCGTGTTAGTCTGGATCTGTAAAAAGCAACAGAGAGTCCTGTGGCACCTTTAAGACTAACAGATGTATTGGAGCATAAGCTTTTGTGGATGAATACCCACTTCGTCAGATGATGCGTCTGACGAAGTGGGTATTCATCCACAAAAGCTTATGCTCCAATACACCTGTTAGTCTTAAAGATGCCACAGGACTCTCTGTTCCTTTCTCAGACATACACCCCTTGTGTGTCCTTTTTCTTCCCCACCTTATTTCTTCTCTTTCCTCTCTTCTCTCTTCTTTTCCCTCCTTTTGTCTAATAAGATTCTGGCTTAACCAGCCAAGACTGTATATTTTGCAATGCTGCTGTAAGCCAGTGACTAGACAGGCAACTAAAAGCAATGCCCTTTACAACCTGACACAGGTACAACTTCGCCAGGTCTCAGAGTAGCTGATTAGAGCAGAGGTTCTCAAACTGTAGTCCGCTGACCACCAGTGGTCCGTAAGCTCCATTCAGGTGGTCCGTGGACAGTTCCCTCTAAGGTGTGCGCCTGGGCAGCTGCACACAAGAGAATGAAGGGCTATCCACCTAATTAGTAGAGCCGCGCAGGCGGAGCTCCACTAATTAGGTGCCTGGTCCGTGGAGAAGATGCACATGTAAGGTGAGGTGGTGGCCTTGGGGGGAATAGGGGGTAGGTGGGAGGGGGCAATGGGGTGAGAAGAGGGGGTGGGGGGAATCTGGGACATGCAGGTGGCCAGCCAAAGAGGCGACTTTCCCCAGCTCCAGGGCTGCGGCTGCCAGGGAGAGATGGCCCTCCTTCCCAGCCTCAGCTCTGTGGCTGCTGTGGTGGGGGAGAGACGCCCCCCTCCTTCCCAGCCCCAGCTCAGGGGCTGCTGCAGTTGGGGGAGAAAGGGAGGCCCCCCCCCTTCTCAGCCTCAGCTTGGGGGCTGCCATGGCAGGGGAGAGAGGTTACATCCATCGCATTAGAAAGTTAAGACTACTGATATTAAAATATGAGTTGTATGCTTTTATTTGTAGAACCCAAAAATGTTAATTATTAAGTTTGTTTTTATATAGCTTTTATCCAAAGCACTTTACAATAGTTAGCTAACGGTACAAACAACATTTGGAAAGATCATTCAGTGGTCTGCCAAGACCCTCAGCAATTTTCAAGTGGTCCGCGGAAAAAAAAGTTTGAGAACCACTGGATTAGAGCATAAACTGTGCCTGTGTTTCTCCAGCAGTGAGGTTACAAATGAGAGTTCAACACCAGACACAGAAGCTGCATTAGCTATCCCTGCTGTTCATTTCTCTCCCTTTTGTGTGTTTTTTGTCTTCGTTTGTCTTTTAGGAAAGGGGATCAGACTTCAACAGCTCCAGTCCACATCAAATAACTTGTTCTCTTTTCCGCCAAAAGTCAGTTATTACCATCTTTATTACCATCTAAAAGTCTTTCAGATGGGGGAAGAGGGAGTGTCTTCTAAAATCTCTCTCCAGGTAAAGGTAAAGAGAACAAGATACATTGTTAAAATGGAAGCCTTATTTAAATAATTAACATTTCAAATGCTTTAACTGTTCCCTTCTTTTTTGTATCTTTAATAAAAGGTCAGACATTGTAATGATGTTTGCCATGGTACTAAGTAGGCTGAGGTCTCTGTATACTGAACTTTGTTTAAATATGGATAGTGACAGGGTCACGTTAACACCTTTCCATCTAAGTTAGTAGAATAGTTATTGTTCACTACTGTCACGTGGGTTAGTATTGGTAACAAAAACCTTGTATCAAGATAGACAGCCTTGCAGCTGAGGTGTATAGTCATCCCAGAGAAACTAGAAGATATTTAGAGAAATCAGTGATGTGCCTGCCTCCCCCTTTCCAGAAGAGTAAAGAGAGTTGTCAGAAAGGGTCCCTTTGCTAGGAACCAAGGACGGGAGCAGGGGGCAGAATCAGCAAAAGTTCTGCCACTCCAGCTCAGAATCCCAGGAGCCAGGGGATAACTCTGAGAAACGGCTCAACCGAGATGCTTGTGGTTGATCCCATCGTCATCAGCCTCCCAAGATCTCCTGACTGGTCCTTGCCAAGATGCACCACAACATAGCAGGAAGTGGAGAATGTGAATAGGGTGTGCCCAGCCTGCTCTCTTCAACAAAATGGGAGCAATGGTGTTCAATCCTGCATTAACGTCCTATCACAGTAGGGCAAGTAAAGATCCCCGGAAAGGGATTGATGAAACTTTCAAAAGATACCAATATTTTGGACACTAGTAGCCTAGAGCCAGTGAGGGTGTGAATAATGGTGCAAGAGTTGCAGGAATGCAGGAAATTGACAGAGCTGAAGACAGATCAGACCTATAACTGCTGGCCAGTAAAGAGGTGAGGCCACAAGCAAAAAGGCTGTTGGTTGGGAATTTGTCTTAGGGAAATTGGCAAATACACCTTCTATTGTGCAGTTGTACTTGGAAAAGTGATTATGAAAAATGGCACTTTCTTACTTATCTGATCTGCTCCTTGTTCCTCAGAATAATTTCTGCATGCACTATAGACTAAAATAAATCTTGTCTCCTTTTTACTCCTGTTAGCCCAGCAGAAATAGCTGGTTTCCATTCTGACTCACGCATCAACTGCTTTTAACTAAGCTCCGGGTGCATTATCTTTTACCGCTGCTGCTGCACCACCCATAAAACATGACTTTCAGATCCCAAACTGAGTTGGCAGGGGCTGGCAGGTATAGGGTGACCAGACAGCAAGTGTGAAAAATCGGGAGATAGGGTGGGGGGTAAGAGGCGCCTATATAAGACAATGTCCCAAATATCGGGAGTGCCCCAATAAAATCGGGACATCTGGTCACCCTAGGCAGGTAAAGAAAAAGCATCATTTTACATGTAAGCTGAGGGACTGTGAAAAGGTATCAGTGAGAAGCAACAGCCCAGGAACTTCAAGCTGCTCTTTTCACAAATTGTGGGGGGGGGGAGTGTACTAACGCCTGCCTCCTTCAGAACCAGAGCAAGTCAGGGGTCCAGCTAGGGTGACCAGATGTCCTGATTTTATAGGGACAGTCCTGATTTTTGGGTCTTTTTCTTATATAGGCTCCTATTACCCCTTACCCCCTGTCCTGATTTTTCACACTTGCTGTCTGGTCACCCTAGGTCCAGCCCAGGGGCTGATGTCCCTCCAGTTACTAAGTCTTGGAGGAGCCATGACGGGGCCCTTTCCATCTACGCAGAGGGGCTTGCAGCGGCGGGGCGCTCTCTGCAGCGCAGCGTCCCCCCTGTGCTGAGCACGGTCCTTTGCGCGGCACCGAGCAGGCTCCCAGCCCGCAGGGGGCTCCCCTCGCTCAGCCCGGTCGGTGGAGGGCGGGAGGGGGCGTGTGCGGTGCGGTCTCCGGGCCGCCGCTCCCCACCGCGGCGGCTGGGCAGGAGGCGGCGCCGCCCCGGGCGGGGGCGCGTTACACAACTATTACATAATAAATAAGCCGGTGACGGGGGGAGGAAGCGAGCGAGCGAGGCAGCGCCGGGCCCGAGCCTGCCGGGAAGGAGGCGCGGGCAGGCGGCATGGAGTAGGGGCCGGGGCGGCCCGGCGAGCGGAGCAGGCGGCATGGAGCTGAGCCCGGGGCCCTGCGCCGAGATGCTGCAGGTGGCCGAGGAGGCCTTTCGCGGCGGCAACTTCGAGCTGGCGGCCGAGATCTACGGCTCGCAGCTGGCCGAGCTGCCGCAGCCCGAGCGGGGCCTCTGCCTGCGCCGGGGGGACGCGCTGGCCCGCGCCGGCCGCATGGCCGAAGCCCTGGAGGCCTACAGCGCCGCCGCCCGGCTGGCCCGCCTGCGGCCCGAGGAGCTGCGGGAGCTGGCGGAGAGCCTGGCGCTCAGCCTCCGCGAGAAGGCGCTGCGCCTGCCGCCCTGGCCCGGCGGCGGCCCCGAGGGGGCGGGCGAGGCCCTGGGCGACCCCGCCTGCTGCCGCCCGCCGGAGCTGCTCGGCTGCCCCCTGTGCCGGCGGCTGCTCTGCGAGCCGGTGACCCTGCACTGCGGCCACACCCAGTGCCGGCGCTGTGCCGAGCCCGGCGACTGCGGCCGCTGCCACCGGCCGCGGCGCATCGCCGACGCCCCGGGCCCCGCCAGCGCCCGGGTCAACGTGGTGCTGGGCAACCTGCTGGAGAAGTGGCTGGAGGGGGAGAGCCGGGCGCGGCGGCTCCGCGCCGAGGGAGACGAGCTGCGGGACAAGCAGGAGCTGCTGGCCGCGCTGGAGAAATACAACCAGGCCCTGGAGACCGGTGAGTGTCCGCCCAGCCCCGGCCTCCCTGCGCTGGGCCCTGAGGCCTAGCCCTTCCCCGCTCCCTGCCCTCGGCCAGGCTGCAGCAGCAGCAGCGCCCGGCCCGGCCTCCCCCAGTGTCCTTTGTCTCTAGGCGCTGCCTCGGGGCTGGCCGCGCGGCACTGTGCTAAGTCCACGGGGGTCAGTGTGTTCGAGCGGCGCGTGCTGCTGCTGCTGGTTCTAGTTTAGCCTCCAGTTCATACTACCGCTGTCCTAAACCATTTCCCTTGCAGTGCCCTCTGGCTCCCTGTTCTAGAGGCCGGGCACAACGCAGTGGATTCTGGGAGATTAGTGACGACCACCCGTGTACTCCAGGGAGAGGAGTGGTTGAGCCGCTTCACCTAGCCTAGGTGCACTTTGGCAATGAAAGAGTTTGCAGTGATCCTTTGTAGACCCGCATGCACGTAAACCCGTTGGAACAAGTCCTTTATGTGAACACAAGGTGTATGTGTTAAGAGGCTAGAATGGTTCTTTGGCTGTTAAATTCTTTAGCACCCTTACCTTCTCCGTTACCTCCCTCTTTCCATTATGCTCCTGCAGCACCGAATGCTGCTGTTGGCACAGTATATTTTTTGGGGGGGCAGCAGCCAAAGAAGGGGGTGGGTGCTTTCTGCTTTGCCAGACTCTGCCATACTGTAAATATATAGAGGAAATCAACCTGAAATCCTAGTCTGTGTAAATGAGTTACCCATTTTTTGATGCTACACCTGGCCTTGAGTTGTCCTGACAGTTTCAATGGCTTTACCATTACATTTTCCTTTAAAAATAGAACAGCAACAACAACAAAACCTTTCTCTTGTTGGTATGTAAAAGATCCATGCGAACGGTATATATGGGGAAGCTCAAGGTGCTGTCAAATGAAGTGAAATAAGAGACTAACTTCTTTTTAGTTAGTTAGAAGTCTAGATACAGTCTAGTCTACTTTAATACAGTAATTACATTCACCTCTTAAAATTGATTGTGTTCCTTAATAGAGCGTGTGTGTGGGGAATTCTCATCCCTTTCTAGTAATGAATAGCGAAAGTGAAGCAATTCATTTAGTATTTGTACTATTTGTTACTTTTTTACTCTGGACAATATAGACAGAGTAGTCAGTTTTGCAGTTTGTGTCCACTTAGCACTGGTGCTCATTGCTTACTCAACACTGCAGTTGATTGACTTGTAAACATAGATGGGGACTGTTTGTTCTTTGTGGTGAATAGTGGAATAGCAAAGCAGCGATGGAAATATATCCAGTACTGTCTTGTTATTGAAATTTAGTAGTCATGGAAGCATTTCTACTGGTCTTGACCTGTGAAAACTTTATTTTGAAAACCTGTGTTGAAAAATGCCCTATTTGATATAGTAGTTTAACTTGCATAAGCAAAATTGAAACAGGGCACTCTTGAATCTAAATAAGTGTCCACACACAGACTTGCACTGAAATATCAAAAGGTGTGAATTACCAGTTTAATTATTTTGGTGTAAGTTTGTGTAGACAAGCTCCTAGAGTATTTCTTCATTCTCTCTCTGAAATAGTTTTGTGAGCCTTTATGCCTCAAAAGTTATAGTAAAATATACCCACTATCTTAAAAGTTTGTTTTAAAGAAAGGGCTGGTATTTAGAATGTGCAGGAATATAAATACAAACCTGGCACTGTATTTGGAAATACACTGTCACTAGTATGACAAATTTCAAATGGAAGGATTAATTCTGGCCTTGTAAAATTGTGCAAATAGCTTAAAACACCGGTTCTTACTGTGGTCTGCAGACCACTACTTGATGATTTGTGGAGAGTTGGCAGGTCACACTGCCCTAAGAGCACCTTTCTAATAGATACATGTGCTTAAAAAACCACACACACACACACACACACACACACACACACACACACACACACACAAAACCTGCCTTTGAAAGAGCCAGTGTTTCACAGGAAGAGGAAAGGAAACAGGCGCCATCTTGATCTTTCCTGAGTGGTAACAGCTAATTTAGACCCCATCGTTTTATATGTATAGTTGGGATTATGCTTTCCAATGTGCATTACTTTGCATTTATCAACATTAAATTTCATCTGCCATTTTGTTGCCCAGTCACCCAGTTTTGAGAGATCCTTTTGTAGCTCTTTGCAGTCTGCCTGGGTCTTCCAAAATTACTAAAGATAGTTATCTACAAATTTTGCCACCTCACTGTTTACTCCTTTTTCCAGATCATTTATGAATATGTTGAATAGCACTGGTCCCAGAACAGACCCCTGGGGGACACCACTATTTACCTCTCTCCACTCTGAAAACTGACCATTTATACCTACCCTTTGTTTCCTATCTTTTAACCAGTTACCAATCCATGGGAGCACCTTCCCTCTTATCCTGTGGCAGCTTACTTTGTGTAAGAGTCTTTGGTGAGGGACCTTGTCAAAGGCGTTCTGAAAATCTAAGTACACTGTATCCACTGGATCCCCTTGGTCCACATGTTTGTTGACCCCCCCTCAAAGAATTCTAGTACATTGATAAGGCATGATTTCACTTTACTAAAACCATATTGACTCTTCCTCCACAAATTATGTTCATCTATATGTCTGACAATATTGTTCTTTATTATAGTTTCAACCAGTTTGACCGGTACTGAAGTCAGGCTTACAGGCCTGTAATTGCCAGGATCACCTCTGGAGCCCTTTTTAAAAATTGGCGTCACATTAGTTATCCTCCAGTCATCTGGTACAGAAGCAGATTTAAATGATAGGTTACAGACTACAGTTAGTAGTTCTGCAATTTCACATTTGAGTTCCTTCAGAACTCTTGGGTGAATACCATCTGGTCCTGGTGACTTATTGCTGTTTAATTTATCAATTTGGTCCAAAACCTCCTCTAATGATATCTCAATCTGGGACGGTTCCTCAGATCTGTCACCTAAAAAGAATGGTCCATCAATGGATGGGCAGGAATAGTGTCCCTAGCCTCTGTTTGCCAGAAACTGGGAATGAGCGACAGGGGATGGATCACTTGATGATTACCTGTTCTGTTCATTCACTCTGGGGCACCTGGCACTGTCCACTGTCGGAAGACCGGATACTAGACTAGTTGGATCCTTGATCTGATCCAGGAGAGTCATTCTTATGTTCTTATCTTCTGTGGCTGGAGCTGCCAGTAGTAGAGAAATGTCTAGGGGAGAAGGGAATCAATTGTTAGGGTATTATGTGGAGGTAGGAGAAAAGAACCTGGGGAATGGAGGACCAAGCAGTACAGTAGTAATATACAATGGAGAGAGAGGAGAATAGGGGGGAGGTGGAGATAAAATGAAAAACAAAAGTAGAATGATTGTCTTCTTTAATAATAAAAAAAAGACAAAATACTGCTTCTTGTATCCTTGTCACAGACTAGACATTTTTCCAGAACTGTGCACAAGCGATGGCTGTTTCCGTCACTGCAACGAGGTCCTCCTTTGTACAGGTCTCCCCAAGGAGTCTGCAAATAAGCAGGTGATCCCTGGTCTGCACTTCACCACACTCACATGTATTAGTGTTTAGAGTAGCCTCATTTGATCATGTTAGTCTTTGATCTACCAGTTTGAGTACATAGGCGGGTCAGACATCACCACATTAAACAGACTTTATCAGCCCCTCCAGGAAGGTCCTCCTGGGGGTACAAATCTGTTTCAGTGCATCCGACTACATGCAATCTTTCATTCCTTAACTCGGTAGTGCCTTGCCAGCTGTGGTATCCAAAGGCACAACGCTGGTCATAAAACTCTTTTGTGATTTTAAGGCATTTGGTTACTCCTATATGACCATATAATGGATGCCATCTGCTGTGATCTTTCACTTTGGCTTGCTACCTTCCTCTTGATATCAGGTGGTGCAACACCAACCAGTAAGTACAGGCTATCCTTTGGTCTTGGCTTTAGACATCCTGTTTTTACATGACAGCTCTCATTTAGGACAGGATCTAGTTTCTTATCATGGATGGATCGTTCCCACACTGGACATGCATACTCTGCAATGGAGTAGCACACAGCAATAGCAGTTGCTTGCAAAGTAGCTTGATAGCTCCCCACTTTGAGGTGACCAACTTTCAAAGAATGTTGTTGCAGACACTAACTTTCCCTTTCACCTTCTCTACATGTGCTTTGAAGGAAAGCATTTGGTCCAAGGTCATCCCCAGGTAGACAGCATTCAGGTGATTAACCTGTGGGATTCCATTTCAGTTGGTGGTTAGTTTCCGCTTTGCTTCTCGATGGCATAAGTGAAAAGCCATCACCTGTATCTTGGTTGGGTTGATGTGAAGCTGGTTCTTGATGTAGTAAGTTGAGATGTTGCTCATAGTCTGTTCTAGACGATGGCAAAGTCCTTCTCCTGTGACATGATGCATAGATCATCTGCCTATGTGAAGCGCCTCGTATTGCTCTGTATGGGCTGGTCACTGTGTGTGTGTGTGTGTGTGTGTGTGTGTGTGTGTGTATAAAATTTAAAAAATGAAGAGGGTTGGTGCTAGCACACTGTCCTGTGGGAGACAATTTTGTTGTCTCAAGCGGCTCCATTTCTTACACAGTGCTATGTAAAAATGTGTCTTCTCCAGAAGAGATCAGATGAGCTGCACTAGGTGGTGGTCGTGCATCGTATCCTAGACTTTGGCAAGGAGGTTTTGTTGGCTGACTGTATCGTATGCAACTGAAAGGTCTACGAACACACCACCTGTTATCATCCCTCTCTAGAATCCCTCTTCTACATGCTGGGGGATGTTTAGTGTTTGGCCAGTGCAGGACTTTCCTAGTCTAAATTTGGCAGTATTAGATCCTGTTAGATATGACGTGAAAGGCAATTATAAAGGTGGCATAGGAGTGATACTGGCCTGAAGTTCTTTGGGTCAGAGGCATTCTTTCCTGGCTTCAATAGAGCTATTACACAGGCTTGTCACCATAATTTGGGTAATCTAAAGGTTGATGAGCAATTGTTAAAAAGGCATAATACCCATAAGGTGGTTGCAG